AATAGGTTAGTAATTAGGAGCTACACCAAATAAGAAATAGAAAAATATAAGTAATTATTATATCAAGGACTAGTAGAAGACATGTGGGTAGCAACTCTTCCTTGTGGTGGTGAAGGATCATAATGCAGGTGAGGAAGAGAATGAAGAGAAACAGTAAGATCCTTACGAGAATCATTTTTTAGCAAGGAAATGAAAATTGCTTAGGATTAGAGAGTTGTGCTGATAACGTGTTATAAATAGGCAAAAGTGAGAGAACATTTTTACTAGAGATCAAAGTGAAACAGGAACAATGTTTCACACTGTTTTTGTACCCGTACAATACAATAAATGCAGCTAAAGAAGGGAGGGAGATTAGGTATTTACTTTCTACCAAGGATGAAGCTAGAGATTTGCATGGATGGGGGCATCTTTAAACAACAAAGTCACAAATTAAAAAGCTCAAGAATATACTAAACAAAACACTTATATATTAGTCCATAAGGTTTTTCATACAACATATTACAATATCCATCGATGTGTTTTTATGTTTTGAAAGCGTTGCATGACAACTTATTACCAATATCATCAAACATCTCTCTCTACAAAAATAATCATGTTATCATTTATCCATTAGTCTCTCATACAATTTCACAATCAATCTTCATAAATTTTATGGGTGAAAATGCTCTTTCAACAATGAAAATAGCACATGAAAGAATTAATACTAATGCCACAAACAACTAAAAGATTACTTTTTTTTTTTTTTGACACAAAAAATGAGTGGGGGCATCCGCCCCCTCTAAGCCTAAGGTGGCTCTATCTGTGCTTTCTACCTTTGATCTTGTGTGTTGTACTGAGGAAGATACAAACATATCTCTATATATAGAGGTTTTGATCCGACACCATTTTAAATGTATGAAGAAAACTTTACATACCAAAATAGTAACAATCAAACTTATAGTATTTAAGCCTACAATATTACTCTACAATCTTGACTTCCATTCTTCCCTCTTTAGTCAAATTATGTGGGCATTCACATAGTTCTAAAAACATTATGAATGTTTATACTAAGGGTGCGTTTAGTGCACGGGACTATTTCGGATTGGACTAGCTTCAGAGACTAAGTTGGATTGGCTTGGCATGCACGAAACAGTACTAAAATTGTGAAATGTTTGGTGCAACGTAGGATTAGATAGGTCTAATTTTTTATTATTTATTTTTAATTATGAAAAGCTTTCCATTTTTTTGTCTAAAAACACTAAAATGCACTTTATAAATAAAAACAATCAAATATTTAGCAGTATACCAAGGAATCAAAATCTTGAATTTTCAATCTTTCCCATCAAATTTTCTTAGCAACCAAGCAGATTAACAGAAAAAATAATACAAATTAAACAATCAGAAAACTAACCAAAAAGAAAGAAATACTGGAAAAAAAAAACCTAGGTGATTGACTTGAGAAAATCTTCAGCCATCTTTGGAGGCTTGCATTCTGCAAATCAAAAAAATAATCCAAAGTCAATCAATATTAAAACCAAAGAAAAAAAGAAGGGATTGACTTATAACTTGAGAAGGATTAAGGTACCAGGGCGGCAAAACAAGGTCTGATCCTTGACCAATCACATGCAAATTGCAATTCAATTTAATTTCAGCTGAGAATGCAAACTTGATGAAGATGAAGAGTTGGATGAATTGCCATGATTGTTATTCTTCCCCATGGCCTTGACAACTGAAGAATGAAAACCATTAAACGAAATCATGCTCCTCAAATTCAAGACCCCAATCTCAAAATCCTTCTCGTCTTCAACGCCAACCCATAAAATAGGTTTCTCAGAAAACAAGTTTATAAGCAGAAAATGGCTTCTGCTGCTGTGATTTGCCTTCACGGGCCCATTAGACTAAATCATGTGCCTCAAATTCAAGATCCGAATCTCGAAATCCTCTCGTCTTCAACGCCAACCCACGAAATGGGTTTCTCAGAAATCGAGTTTTTGCCGATGTTCTTCGCCTATACAGACCACAGATCCATGGCGACCTCGCACGAAGAGGAGTTTTCCAGAAAGAAGAAAATAGGAGCGAAGCGGGGAGAGGCAAAGAAGATCTGGTCTTAGCAGTCCGCCCGATTTTGGGGGTCCTCGCTAAGACGGTGTAGTGAAGCGTTTAGTTTAGGCGAGTCCACCTAGTTTCATTTAAGTTAGTTCTTCCAACAAACAAACACGGGAGTATCCTAATACTTACTCTAGTCTATTAGTGAATGTTAGTGAATGTAAACAAACACACCTGAAAAGTATTTATATTTGCTACAACAATTCCAGACGAGCCTATTCGACCACAATTTTAAATTACAATTAGAGAACCGGATATAGTATTCACAGTATTTAGTATTATCATCATCTGACAGTCAAATATACTTCTTAGATGTCATAACAGCATGTTGACCGCCTTATGGTGGTAGTATTACTAAGTACTTATAAGTATTATAGCCAAATTCTATAAATGGATATTACGATAGAGAAAGAGTTCACATGTATGGTGGTTCACCTCTATAAGAGAGAGATATTACAGACAACACTGAATTTTAGTGCACATAAAAATGCACATTTAAGTTACATATATGAAGAAAAGCTGTTCGATTTCATTTGCCTAAATGATCTTACAACTCTTATTAGACCATCTTTAACCCTTGGGTTAAAATCTAAAACTTTAAACTCAGAAAATTTAGGTTTTAACCCACAAATAGTTTTTTTGCTTCAATCCTTATAGGTTAAATTTTTAGCCCAATATTATTAGGTCATATCCAATGGAGAATGGCTATAAGGCCATAGGCCAAATTTCAGTTCGAAATAGGCTGGGTTAAAAAAAAAAAAAAGGACCCAACATGCCAAGTTTCAGCCCTTTGGCCATTGGGCTAGGCATTATTAGCCAGCTAGCCAGCCTGTTTGAGGGGCCTAGTCTGTCAACACCCAAGGGCTACATGACATCAACTAACGTCATGTAACCGATGGAAAATGTTTTTTATTTTTCATTTTTTTAGAACAAAATTAAAAAAAAAAATTAAAATTCTAATTTTTTTTCCCTATAAATACCTAAGCCATTTCTACACTATTTCTCACATCATTTCCACCCTTCCATACTATCTTACCTCATTTTATTTCAATTATTCACACTTTATTTACGTCAAACACTCTTTTCATACACACCCCTCTCGTACCTCTTCCAATAATCTAAATTTAAATTTTCAATATTTTGACAAATGACCACATATTCAACCAAAGGAAAGACTTGGACCCAAAAAGATGAAGCTCTTTGCAAGGCTTATAGATGGGTCTCGGAAGATAGTATCAAGGGTATTTCTCAAACAAGTGAAGACATTTGGACTCGTACGTCCAAAAAGTACTTTGAGTTCTACAAAGACACCACTCCACTTAACCCTAGAAACCACAAGAGTTGTTCTTCACAATGGAAAAAACAACTTCATCCAAGGTTGAATAAATGGCATCAAGTCTTGATAATGGCCGAAAGAAGACATGCTAGTGGAGCCAATCTATATGACGAAGTAAGCGTTTTCACAAGTTCTTTTAAATATTTAATTATATTACATTTAATTCCATAAATTAATTTTCTTTAATTTTTGTAAGTATATTTTTTGGGAACGCCAAGCGGAGCAATTGTATATGGATGACATGAAAAAAACCTTTACTCATCAAGGTTGTTGGGAAATTTGTAAAGGGTGGGTATTATTTCATGATCCACCTCAAGAAAAATATGGTCCTACGCCGGTGATTGGAAATGTTTCCGCTATAGTTAGGGATGAAGAAGTATCTTCTGTCATTGAAGAAAATCTGTCTCCGAGTCAATCTTCCATACCCAGGGCTAAGGGACGAAACAAGGCTATAAAATTGAAGAAAAAGAGTAAGAAAAAGGAACATGGAAATGGACACCATGAATTATACTCCAATGGGTAAGGCATATTTTGAAAGGAAAAAGAGGGAAATTATTGCCCAATGGCAGTTGTTTTCAACATATACTCTTGTAAGGGCAGATAGATCCTTATTATTAGTTGTTGTAGTCTGTAATATTTAAGTTGTTGTAATCTTTAATATCTAAGTTGTTGTAGTTTTAATATTCAAGTTGTTGTAATATTTAATATTTAAGTTGTTGTAGTTTTAACATTTCAGATGTTGTAATCTTCAATATTTAAGTTGTTGTAGTTTTAATATTTGAGATGTATTTCAATTAAATTGTGATCTTAAAAATTAATGTCTAAGAACAAACTTAAAAATAATCAATTAAGCAATAAGTTAAAGAACAAATTTAAAAATGATAAATTATTGAAATGCTAAAACATAGCACGTTTCGGTTGGAGATGGTATATATTTCTTGGCACTGTTCATTTGAAAATAATTTTTTGCAAGGCTATTATTCTGGACAGGACTATGTTTAGCCCTTTATGTTGGAGATGACTTTAAAGAATGAATTTAGGATAATTTTGTTCTTAAAGTAACTTTAAAAAAAATTATGTAGACTATATAGTTTAATGTTATGAACATTTTAACCTAAAAATATTTATATTCCAATAAATATTGAAAAATCATTAAACTAACACCATGAAACACTATGAAATAATATGAAACACATGAAATTTGTTTTTTTTAATTATTTTAGCATTTAAATTTAGACCACTGGATTTTTTAGATTTTAGTCGTTGGATTCAATAAATTTATAAATATAAAACTAAAAATAAATACACATATATGATAGGTCAGTCCACTAACCCAAGAGGAATCTTGGGCTAAATTTCCCCAAAAGAAGAGTTTTGATTTAAAACCCATATTTGACCCAATGATTGGAACAGGGTAAATTTGCTAGGCCTCCACGTAGCCCAATCTAATATTTTGATACATAAGAAAATGGCACAGCCCATATCTAGAATTTTGACCCAATACAAACAACTGAAAGAAAAGAAAAGAAAAATTAAAAAATACAAACACTGGGAGGAAGAGCTGGAGTGACGCCGAAGAAATCAAGCGACCTATAATTTAGTGTTCTTGTGCGCAACGCATTTCCACGAACGAAACGATCTCTCTCTCCCTCTCTTTTGAGTTGTCTGTGAAAGCAATTGGATTTCGATTCTGATTTTTGAGAAACCCTAATTCTCCGATGTCGGTAAGTTGAAGATGCAAAGCTTGATTCTTTACTCGCACAGATGCTGATTAGGGTTTTCGTAATTACCCAACGGGCGATTTTGATTTTTGTTTTGAAAATTTTGGTTGCCAGATCTCCGAGTACAATGGGAGTGCACTGGTGGCAATGGTGGGGAAGAACTGCTTCGCCATCGCCAGCGATCGCCGCCTCGGTGTTCAGCTCCAGACCGTCGCCACCGACTTCAAGAGGATTAGCCAAGTCCATGATAGGCTCTTCATCGGCCTCTCCGGCCTCGCCACGGACGCTCAGACTCTGTACATCTCTCTTTCTCTCTCTCTCTCTCTCTCTCTCTCTCTCTCTATATATATATATATATATTATTTTTGCGTTCCTTCGTGTGATTTTTGGGGATTTTGGTGTGAACTTGTAGGTATCAGAGGCTCATGTTTCGGCACAAGCTGTACCAGCTTCGTGAGGAGAGGGATATGAAGCCCGAGACTTTTGCGAGCCTCGTTTCGGCTATTCTGTATGAGAAAAGGTTTGGAATTTGCTCAAATCTGATCCTTTTTTTTTTTTTAATATATACTTAGGAAGTTTAATGGGTATTGATTAGTTTAGCCTAATGTGATGAGGAACTAAAAGGCTTGTCTCCTTTTTGTGATTTAGGTTTGGTCCCTACTTCACTCAGCCTGTAATTGCTGGGTTAGGTGATGAAGACAAACCATTCATCTGTACTATGGATTCAATTGGAGCCAAGTAAGTTATTTTTTGTCTTCACTCGTTTTCTTTTTCGACTTTCTCATAACTTTTTAGCTGCCCATATGCTAAGGACTTCAAAATTGTTTCTTCATCTCCCAAATAGGATAAATATTCATGCTTGCTACTTCTATTTTGTTTGTGTGTTGATGTGGATTTTGCTTCTTGTTGTGATGTTACTTGTGTTCTGTATATGTAGGGAACTAGCAAAGGACTTTGTTGTTGCTGGTACTGCATCCGAGTCCCTTTATGGTGCTTGTGAGGCAATGTTCAAGCCTGATATGGTTAGTTTCTCTATTAAATTTGCACTAGCTTTAGCAATGGTTGGTCAATATTTTATTTGATCTGGTTGTTGTTGCCGTTGATCTGCTTATGTACTTCAGATATGAGAATTTCAGTTTTAGGTGCTTCAGATATTCTGTTGAATCATATGTCTCCCATATATAATGAACATTCAGGCACGTAACTGTGACACGCTGTCTCAGGCGACTGTGATTCATATTTAATGGTATAGATGTGTTGTTGCTTTGAGAATGGGGCTATTGAAATCAAGAAAAAAAACAAGCTGAGAGATCTCCAATCAGTTGCAGCCTTTTGTCTTTGTGTGTGTGTGTGTGTGTTGCTACTACTGAAAGGAGTTGGGGAAGGGGCAATATAATTCAGGGGAAATGCTACATAAATAAAAGCATATATAGAGATAAACAGTTGGCTCCATTGCCAACTGAACTTCAATAATCATGTAGAGGATTCTGTGGGGCTGAAAATTTATTGCTGTCTGATCAATTAGATCATTGTGAGAATGTTTGCTCCTAGTACCGCTAAAATGCCCATCTCCTTTATTATATTTATTACTAATGAGAACAGCTCTAAGCCTCTAACAGCAGTTTGTCTACCAATTGTCAATCAGGAACCAGAGGAATTGTTTGAGACTGTCTCTCAAGCATTGCTTTCATCAGTAGATCGAGACTGTCTAAGTGGTTGGGGAGGCCATGTCTTTGTCGTGTAAGCCTTACGTTCTCTTTACTTATTCAGATATTCTTATCACTAAATTTCTATACAAACGGTGTTATAAATGAAGATAGGTGTGTACATAGAGAGCGAATGTCTCTTGAAGCAATGTAAGATTCTATTGTTCCTTTTGTCATTCATACTTTAAGATGCTGATATAGGATTCGAATCATTTCTTCCATCTCTTTGCCTGCCAAATAAAGCAAGTAGCTATATATACTTCAGCTGAACATGATATTGGGGAAATAATTGTGAAACACTGTAACATTGTGCTTTACATAATATGATTAATGCTATGTGAAATCCAGGAATGTTGTTTGCCCTGAAGGTTAAAGCTACATTGTCGTGACCAGTGGCTACTCTTACCGTAACATTTGGATTAGTTATCATGTTGGTGATACAGTAGAGCGTAAATAAAACCTAATTCCCTAACTGGTTAACATTATTTGGAATCTCAGGAATCAATTTCTTTGGTGGTCTGAATTCTCAATCCGTTGTTGTTGATTTTTCCTTCATGTTCTTTATATCCTTATTCTCCCTATGTTACGACTTCACAGTAATTAAGATTTGTGAGGGTCATTTAATTCCCTTCATTTATGTGAGAAGTATCACTACCCTGTTTTAACACGTGCATTCATTTTTCTGCAGAACACCAACTGAAGTGCAGGAGAAGATCTTGAAGGGAAGAATGGACTGACCTCGCTGCATGCCTTTTAGTGAATCCTCTTGCATTTTGTTCTGGCTGCATCTTTTCCTCAAGTGTTTATGTAGCTTTGACGTGAATGAGCAGACATAAGCATTCTTGGCGATCATAGGCCCCTTGTTATGTTTTGATTTAATGTACTTTGACGAGTATAGACAGTGGGATCATAGGTCACTTGGAGAAAATGCCGGGAATTCAAATATGTTTCAGTTGGCACGCTCATGAATGTTTCTAAACAGTTTTCGAATTTATCCAGATGTATTTGCTGTTTCTAAGCATTATCTCGAATTTATTCGTGGTGCGTATTCGGAACACATGATGTTACTCTCTTGTGTTCAGTTCTGTTTCGTAGATGTGGTGTTATGGTGAAAGACATGCTGTTAACCAAAGTCTTGCGTTTTGACAAGAGTGGGAGAACCCGACCGACGTGTTAATCGGTACTGGATAAGCTCGATATTTATTTTCGTATTTTGACGTAAGCAAGACATTGGGAGAGGGGTAATCGAACTTGAAACTCGGGTGCAGGGGGGTGAAGCTCTTGACCAACTGAGCTACAAGGACCATGAGAGCAATGTTTTGGGGAGAAACTTGATCTTTTTATCAGGAATGGATTAGTCTGGCGTCTATTCAGCAACTCTTTCACAACATTCTCAACTTGTTCAATGCTGGTGTCATCGCTTCGCTTGTGGCATACGCAAGTCAGTGGTGGCAAATAAAGCATATTCCTTCACCCAGCCACCGTTTTACACGATCATTATTACGCTATAGCGCTATACCCCACCCCAGATGGGATTGGTTGAATTCTTTTGACCTGTTTACTTTAAATATCACAACGACTTGATTCCTGACTTTTCTACCATTATTGTATTGAATAAAATTTAAAAAAAAAAAAATTATGTGGATCTCTTGTTACATTGCGTAATATATAATACTCAATGTTTAATATTTTTTTGATATGAGATATTTTCATGGAAGTATAAAAAAATTAGAGAAATATATGGAAATGGGGAAAGTTTAAATTTCACCTCATGTCGGACAAACTCTTAAGTTTAGGTTAAAATCGACAGATATCGTCGGTATGTCTAACACATCTGTTAAATATTGGAGAGTTTCTTATATTTTGTCCAAACCAATGTTTGATAATTCTTAAAATTTCATCTTAAATTTCCATCATTTCCATCGAAAGCAACCGATATCAATTTCGACATATCCGTCGATATTTCCACAAATTTGCATATCGATATTTCCACATATATCGATATTTTAAACACTAACAATACTTGAACCTTTTATAATTAGATTGTTTTCTCTCCTCTATTCACGAGTTCCTCCCGTTTCACATAAGTAGACATGAAGAAACCTTGAATCAACCCATGAAACCAAGAACACAAAGGTAATCTCGCACAATTTCTTAAACGAAAACAAAAGATAACACCGAAACAGCTTTCAGTCTGAGCGCTTGGTCTTCTACTACGAGAGTTGTGTTAGTCTTTAGAAATAGAAAATCTCTTTGTGATTAAAGGCGTTCTGCTAATCATCTGCTTAACCTCATAATTAATTATTCTGGGGACCATGGATGTGTGTATGAAAAAGTTGACAAAAGGATTGTCTTTGCCCGGCGGAGAGGGAATTGCCGATTGCGTAGGGCACTAAGTCACAACCTAGGAGCCCAAAATTTTGGACTAAGAAGTTGTAAATTATGGGAGATCATTTTCTTTGGCACACGAATTTGAACTAGGAATCTGGAATACTTGTATCCATGAGGAATAGGTTTCCCATTGCTTGCAAGGGACGTTGCCTTTTCTCTCAAGAAACCTCATAAAAATAATCCAATAGTTTCCCCTCATATATCTCAAATGAATCTGGTTTTTGACACTGCGTTTCTGGAAGAGATTGATCGTAGTTTTCAATGGACGGAGAAGAAGAACGAGGCAAACAATCTTCCCGGAGGACCCCTTTCACCGAACTCAACCAAGTGAGCGCAGATTTCATTCTAGCCATGGCTATGCAAGAGCAAGAGCAGGCCTACACAATGCTCGAAACCATAGAAAGCGATAGTGAAGAAGACGATGCTGAAATTGATGATGCTTCTTCGTCCTCTAATGAAAACTATGATCCAGACAACGCTGCTTTCTCCGAAAGCAGACAATTTGATGCTGGTGATTTCAGGTTTTTTGAGGACGAAGAAATTGGCAGCAGCAGCAGCAGCGACCAAGAAATGGATGATTTGGACGTGGATGAACTAACTTATGAGGAATTGTTAGCACTTGGAGAGTTCATAGGGGAAGAAAAAAGAGGACTTCCCAGCAGTGAGATTTCAACATGTTTGCATCCCTACACCTGCAAATTAGCGGTCGATCAGAGCAAGACTAGCATCGATCGGTGTGTGGTTTGTCAGATCGAATATGAAGATGGTGAATTACTAGCTGCATTGTCCTGTGAACACCCTTATCATTGGGAGTGTATAAGCCAATGGCTTCAGATTAAAAAGAGTTGTCCTATTTGCAGCACAGAAGTTTCATCACCATCCTCATCATCCAAGACCAAGAATTTATAAATAATTAGGGTTATGCATTTCATTTTATTTTATGGGTTTGATTGCAAAGTATAAATGTACAAGATTTGTGTTTCAGTTCTAGGTAATTAGTTGGAATTTGGTAATGAATGGTGTAATTAGTTGGAATTTGGTAATGCATGAAGAAATAAAAGACCATAGAATATACTTTATCTATAATTTTCTCTCTAAACTGAAATAATTTTGTAAAACTATGCATATTGAGGTGCAAGTTGCAACTAAGGCCCGGTTTGATATTATTTTTTTTTCCCACCAAAATCTACTTCACTTTAAAGTTAAGCAGTAACAAAATGTTGGTAAAAATTAAATATTCTGCTTATTTTAAAAGTAATGGCTTCCAGACAACAGCAACTACTTTAATAAAAAGCGAAGTTGAGCCTTTTAATGAATATTTTTAATTCCTGTAATACGCTCATTAATTTTTTAAAAATATATTATTTATCTTTCTAGACATATTTAATCCTTGTAGAACAAAGTAACCACCACCACCGACCACTAAAAACCTTAACCTCTTACGTCACCGTTTCCATTAGCACCACCATTGTTGCTGCCACCACCACACCACAATCGCGCCACCACTTACACCACTACAACCACCACCACAAACCATACCCACCATCACTACCACCACAACTGCTACTACCATCGTTGTCGTCACCGTCACCACCACAACCACAACCACTGCCACCACAACCTTCAACATCGTTGTTGTCGTTGCCCCTACCACCATTGTTACCTATGCAGCCCAACCACCATACCCCATTATTGGCACCATCACCACCAACATCACAAACCATGGCCCTTGCTACCGTCGTCGTCATCATCACCCACACCATCATGTATATTTGTCATTATATACAATTATATAATTTTTACATTAAAATTTACTAAATGCTTTTACACTATTTTTCATACTTACAATACTTTTAAAAATAAAGTTTATCAAACATTCAACTGCTTTATTTTGCAACTGATTATTCTTAAAGTACAACATAAGCAATTTAAAAATAAAAACAAACAAAGCAATCCCAAACTGATTCAAAATGATCGATTTAGTACCAAGAGTCCCTGCTTTATTAGATGAGACTTGTTGATACCATATATTTTGTTTTTCATAACTCAAGTTCGACCACTTAGTATTATGGTCTAGTAGTATTCTTATTCACTTGTAAGTGAGATGTATTAGGTTTGATTCTCGTTAAAAACAAATTTGAACCACATTATTGCGAGGTCATTATAAAGCTTAACACACTCCTACATCACCTTATATCGTCTTAGTGTAGATAATATCAATTGTTCAAAAATAAATAAATAAATAAACATTCAAGTTCGAATATTTATAAGTTTATCAAACGAAGATCAATACATTAATCTAAATTAATTGAATAGTCTAATTCAGGTCAAATCACCAAAATGAATCTAATAAGTTCCACGACTAATTTATTTTTTCATAAAATCTAGAATCTGACATTCTATTGATTAAAGACCTAAAATTAAGTGAACTGTCCAATCCGTTCTCATTTAAATGGTGAGCTGCTTTGAGCATATGTTGAAGGAGATTATGTAAACATGAAGAGAGGAGAATTTTTTACTTTCCTAATCTTTCTACTTTTTTATGTTCTTTTATTTGAATGGTCATGTTTAAATTATATCAATATTTTATATTGATTTTTTGATAAAGATAATAAAATAAAAAATAATATATAAAAAATGTAAATGGAAATAGGAGGGTAGGAGAATCCCTTTCCAACGTGAAGCCTTTCAATGGCAAGGAAACAAAGAAATTGTCAAGATTAACAGCTATATCGTAATCCGATACGGACACAAGAAGAAGAGACTACAAGGAAAGTGGAGGATTATTAAAAGTTTGAAAGGTTCATGTGCGCCGCCATTAACCTAATCGCCTACAGGTTGTATCTGCCCTGTGGGTCGGTCTCAGCAGGTCTAATTTTGTCGCCACCTGCACCGTTGGCCACTACAAATCTTAGACCCTTAATTGGACACACGCGCAATATTTTAATTTGGCAAACACCTAAGGGGGCGTTTGTTGCGCCAGGACTATCTCGGACTGGATTAGCTTTAAGGACTAAGCTGGACTGGCTTAGACTAGACTAAACTGGACTAACTTAGTGAAGCGTTTGGTGCAGTATTGGACTAAGAAGCTGGATAATAACAAATTATAATATTATATTATTTAATATATAAATTATTAATATTTTATTATGATCTTATCTTTTTCTTCATTTTTTCCTACCATTTCCTTGTTAAATTGGATGAAGTTAGCACCGCCAAAAAATTCATCACCATCCCTGGACCGAAATCTTAGCTTTGAATGCTTGAATCTGTCATGGATTTGAAGAAGCCCAAATAGGCCGAGACTTCCAGGCCATTTTCCAGCCACATTCGACCACCTTTTGGCCTCAATTCAGGTAAAATCGTAATCTTGTCACTCCCAGCTTCAATTTGGTATATTTTGTATGAAAGTTGGTTGTGAAATGGATCTGAAAGAGAGTCGGAAAGTTAATGATTGATCTAGGTGACCAGAGATGACGAGGAGTCTGTCGAGAGTGGTCGTTGAGCACGACGAGAACGAGAAAGAGAGGATAGTCTTAGCTAGTCCCATGGTTATTGGAGGGTCTCGCTAAGACCTCTTAGTGAAGGGTTTTGTCCATGCTAGTCCCCTTTAGTCTCATTAATGTT